AGAGATCTCTGGACCTGGATGCAGGGAGGCGGGGAAGTGGTAGAGGGAACTCATGAAGTCCTCTTGTGATTGCTTCTAGTTTCTCAGTGCATTAGGAGGCAAATATATAGAGCTCTCTAGCTTTATTTATAACCACTAAAAACTGCAAGAAGTCCTTCACACTGGCCAAAGACTAAACAAACAGTGGTACATCCATGTCATGGAATACTACACTGCAATAAAAGGGAATGAACTCCTGATACAGTCGACGTGGATGATGTTAAAAAAAGCCAGTCTCCGAAGTTTATACACTGTGTGATTCCATGCATATGACGTTCTGGAAAAGACAACATTATAGGAACAGAAAGCAGACCAGGAGTTGCCAGGAACTGGGAAGGGGGAGGGGTCGGCTGCAGAGGGGCTTGGGAGGTAAAGGACCTGTCTGTATCCTGATGGTGGTTGAGGTTAGATAACTGCATGCACTTGTCTAGAACTGTGCACCAAAATGTGTGAACTTGAAAATCATATTTAAAAAAAAGAGAGAGAGACTAGAGATGGCTACTTTTAAAAAAAGTTTTCTCTGCTTCTATTTCTTTGACACCTACTACCAACCACTATGCAGCAGAGGCAGGTTACCATGAGGCTAATGATATTCAAGCTTCATTCTTTTTGTGTAAGAAATTGTGTAAGCTTCAGGCCACATGGAACCTGTGTCCCCCGCCCCCCAGGATTGGGCCCCAGTGGTTTCTCCTCACTAGGGGCCCTTGGAACCATCTGGCCCTGCCCCTTTCTCCATCCTCAGTGTTCTCCACAGACTGGGGTTACGTCCTCGTTTCAGCTCTAATAAACTTATACAAACTCTACAGGTTTAGACATTTCTTACGTCAACAACACCAAGTCCCAGTGCCAAGGCTGTGGCTGGCCCACGGGAGGATGTGATTACTAGGTGGGGGAGAATCGAATTAGAGAATGATCAAGTGGGTGTCATTTTAATCTTCATTTTCCAGATAGGTGGTGTGGTCTATAAAAAATAATACAAAGAGAGCCACTTTAAAATGGAGTCGGAGCTGCCATTGCAGAGGAACTGCCTTGCAGTCCTATACCTCAAACCTTTGGAATGTTAAAACAGCATGAATTAACCTAAAGCAACATTTTGTCCCAAACAGCTGTTTGCAAAAATAACTTAGAAAACAGATACCAGGACTACAAGATTAAAACCTAAAAACACTCTATAGAATTAGCATCACTTTGTTAGCTTCTCTCCATCTATAGAAGTTCCTTCCTTCTATTGATGTAATTGATCCCCTTCCTTTTCTCATAAATATCCCTTGCCTTTTTTTCCCTCCTTCTTCTAAACAGAACATGATTTGGGCTTTTGCTTGAATCAGTGCTGCCTGATTAGCTATTGTTTGGGATCTCAAATAAATCCATGTTGCTTCTCACGTTGGTCTTTTATTTTAAAGTTAACAGGTCTCACGGAGGTCAGAGCGTCCAGTACTGCTCAGGGTTCGGGCCGAGGCCCTTCTGCCACCAAAGCACAGCATGATGTGCAGCTGAGTTGCCACACCTCCGCTGTCCGGTGTACCCCGGTGCCCACATCACCCTGGCAGGTGACTGGCAAATGCAGAGGCCTGTGAGTTCATCGAAGTTGCTGGTGTTCTTGAGAGCACGTTTTGTGTACAGAAAGGATTATTTGCATTTCCTCTGACTTTAAAAACAGTCTATTTCTTGAAATGTTCAACTTGATAGTTTAATTTAAAATGTAAAGCTCACACAATAGAATGTACAGATGTCAAATTATAATGTACACTTGAAAATTATATAATTGTATTAACCAACGTTACCCCAATAAACTTAAAAAAAAATTTAAAGCTCAACTTAGAAAGCTCATGTTGTTTGTATGTTTGACACAATGTAGCAATCGTTAATTTCCAGCCTTTTCGGGGTTCAAGACACCTACTGAAGAAAACATTAAGAGATTTGGGGTGGTTTTCCAGAATACTGAGGCTGCATATTGACCGAATATTTTGGTCATACTCGGAGGTCCCTCTGCTCCTCACAATCCTGAGATTGTGACAGGCCACTCTGACTCTTATAATTTCTGCATCAATTAGAATTCCAAATGAGGCGATGTGATGGCTTGCATACTCTGGATTCGTTACCTAATTTTTCCAACTAATTGAGATTTGCAAACACCTTCTGCCCCAACTCAGGTTTCCTCACCATTGGATTGGATCCTGCTAACCCAAGTATGGCTTTTTTTTTTATTCTGAATTTTCTATATGTGGAAATATGTATTTCCATATGCTTCCTATCTAACAGGACCACAACTCTTGGATGGGATTCGATTATGCATATCTCCCCTGGCTCCAAGGTCTCTAGCAAAAAATTTCACAGGGGACACAGCCAGGGCAGGTGGGCTAGGCCTAGGTTCGGCCAAGGTCAAGATAAAGGTGGTCATGGTTAAGAGATTAAGAGCATGGGCTCTGGAGCCAGGCTACCCAGTTTAAATGTACTCTTGACTAGCTGTGAAGCCCAGGCAAGTATTATTTTCTTGCTGCCTTTTACAGTTTTCCACCTGTAAAATGAGGATTACATTCTCTGGGAATTCTGATGTAAGATCACATGGTAGAAAGAAGTATAGAGGTGCTGAACAAGAAGAAGAGGTGGCTGCAGCTGTGGCTTGAGTAAGCACAGGTGAAGCAAATATTTGCTCTTGGCTCAGCCTAGCCATAGGTTAGGGTAACCCTGAGGTGGGGAAGACAGGTCTGAACCTATTTCTGGGACAAAGATGTAGGAGGCACGCAGGTTAAACTGATGTCTTAAGCGCTACCTGCTCAGAAATCATGGAGGAAGCAGGTCCCATGGAGATATAAATGTTCTCTGCTAGGCAGGATGTCTCTCCATAGCAGCTTTTCTTACCCATATAATGGGGATAAATCATAATACTTCCATGCTGAGTGATCGCAGGAGCAACTGAGATAGTGAATATAAAGCTGTTAGCACAGAGCCCTCAGTACATGACAGCTGTTGCTATCAATATCTCTGTCATCATCTTCGCTTCAGGTCACCTGGCCTGCTGACTGCCAAACGTGCCCAGGCTCAGGGCTGGGTACTATACTCTAGGGAAAAATTTACAGTGACTGCATCAGTCAGGCCTTTCAGGGAAAGTGTGGCAGCCAGTTTCTACCTTCTCTTGATTGGTTTAAGTGCCAGAGGATAGGCCCAAGGGGTGGGGACCCCTCCAAAAGAACCTACTTTGAACACGCTTGCTCTAAACCCTGTGAGGTTCAATAAAATGAACAGAGAACGAAACATACGTTCAGATCTCGGTCCAGGGTCCTGGCCTCCTGGTGGATTGAGTCACAGGCGATTCTGATGCAAAGGGTCCAAGGTCAGCTTTGAAAATACAGGACAACTTGCCTCAGGTGTAAAGGCCTCAAGGTGATCTTAATTCACAGAGAGTCAAGCCAATCAGTGCGCAATGCATGTCCCCTGATAAGGGAGATACCATTTCAACCGCACTGGCTGTTCCCCTGGCCTCCAGTGCTTCTTCCTCCAGAGCATTCCTGGCTCCCAACCTCATTATCGCCTTCAGCTCCTGATTCAAATGACCTCCTCACTCAGCCCTAAGGAACACAGCCACCCCCAACATAGGTTATCTTGTTTACTGATGTATCCTGGTGCCTGTAACAGGATCTGAATAGTAGGCGCTCCATAGAGAAATATCTGTTAAGTAAATGTTGAATACACTGGCTGGAACCCAGGCCTTCGAAAAGCCACCAAGTCCTAGCAGCAACAACCTACTTGATAGGCAGGAACCACCCAAAACGGGAAGAGGTGGGGCCTGAGAAAAAGCCCAGTGTCTCTGGCTACCTTCCTGGGGTCTGGAGGTAGAAGCGCCCATAACCTGAGGGTCAGATAGGGAGAAATGGCCACGCTCTATTGTCAAATGAAATAAGCCAGTTGTGACACACTGTACAATTCCACTTTGTTAAAAATTAATCATTTGGGTTCATTCAGCACACATATACTAAACACGTATACAGGTAAAGGAAAAATTCCTATTTCCTCTCTGCACACAATACTTCTGACACCTAAAGTGTGAGGTCTTCCACACCAAGCAATTCTGCAACTCCTGATGGACACAGGCCGGGTGTTCTACAACGGTCCCCAACCTTTTACGGTCCCAGGGACCAGTGCTCCTATGAAAATCTGATGCCTGATGATCTGAGGTGGGGCTGAGGCGGTGATGCTGGTGCTGGGGAGCGGCTGCAGATACAGATGAAGCTTTGTTCACTCATCTGCTGCTTACCTTCTGCTGTGTGGCCTGGTTCCTAACAGGCCACTGACTAGTATCGGTCCTTGGCCCGAGTGTCGGTGACCTTCATTCTACAATTTAACTCTATTCTGACACTAACTGCCTGGAGTTAACACAGGTCCCACAGGGTAAGGTTCAGACATTAATCCCAAGTCCTAGGCTGTCACCTGTACTGACTGGCTATAAACTGGGAGTTCCCATGACCCCCTCCCTTCAGTTTGATAGTTTGCTTGAACAGCTCACAGATCTCAAGAGAAATACTTACTTATGTTTACCACTTAATATAAAGGATACAGCTCAGGAATAGGCAAATGGAAGAGACAGACGGACACACAGGGCAAGTAAGAAAGGAGACAGGGCTTGTCCACGCTTGCTGGGTACACCACCCATCTAGAACCTAGATGTGTCCACTAAGCCAGCAGCTCTCTGAACCCCATCATTTAGGTTCCTGGGCCCCACTCTAGACCTATCTAGTCAGAATCCAAGAGCTGGGGTTAGGATCTGGATTTTCAAAGATCTCTCCAGGTGATTTTTTTTTTTTCAGACTGTTTTTTTAGAACAACTGTTTATAGAAAAATCGATAGAGAATTCCCATGTACTTGGCTCCGAGTTTCCCACGTTATTCTAGTATTAACATCTTACGTTAGTATAATACATTTGTTACAACGAATACTGGCCTTTATTAACTAAAGTCCAGAGATTATTTAGATTTCCTTTATTTTTACCTAAGGTCCTCTTTTTACTGTTCCAGAATCCCATATTATATTTAGCTATCATGTCTCTTTAGGCTCCTCTTGGCTGTGGCAGTTTCTCGAACTTTATTGCTTTTGATGACCTTGACAGTTTTTTAAAGAGAACCGGTCAGGTGTTGTTGTTTTTTTTTCTTTTTTGGTCAGGTGTTTTTGTAGGATGCCACGCTACCGGGATCTGTCTGATGTTCTTCTCATGATAGGACTGGAGTTATGGGTTATTTACCTCAGAAGTAAAGGGCCATTTTCATCACTTCATATCAAGAGTACACACTAGCAACATGACATCACTGTTGATGCTGACCTTGATCCCCTGGCTGAGGTAGTGTCTGTCTGGTTTCCGACTGATTTTTATGCCAGAGAAACGAGAGGTACCGGAAAAAGGGCCTCTGACACTCCCTGTGACAATTCTTTAAGGTCATTGTTAAAAAGAAAGGAACCACGGTGAGCAGACAGCTCACACACAGAGAGCAAGTCTTATGCACCAGGCACTGTGACAGGCACCTGACCATGATGACTTCACTTGTCCCAACCACCTCACAAGGTGGGTGAAATCATTGTCACATTATGGATGAAGGAGCCAGGCTTTCGAGGCATCGTAGCCAGAGGCCCACAGAGCCACATCTGCTTGATGCTGCTCTGAGCTGCGGGCTGCCTCACAGGAAAGGGTGAGGAGGCTGTGGTGGCAGAGCCTCCTCTTCCAGGATGGCGGCAGGGACGAGACATGCAGTACTTCCCCTTAGGGACCAAATCGGGAGCCCTAGCCAGAGGCCAACTCGCTCCTTCTAGCCCGTGTTCTGAGTGGGAATTACCCACGTACCTAGAGGTTAAAAGACAACCCCCCAAAAAAGCACACACGGGACCAAGGTGTCCAAAGCCTGGAGAAATAAAATTGGCAGAAAAAAATGGCTAAATTTTTTTTCTTTTGATTTTGATGGTATGAGAATAGAGCCTTTTGACCTTACGTATGTCACATTTATTTAACCAGTCGCTTACTGATGGATGGTAATTTTGATACATACTATCAAATTACTCCTAGACCTACACAGTTGTATATGCTTAGCAACAATATAGACTGTCCATTTTCTCACTTCATCACCAGTGCTGTTATCTTTTTATTATTTTTGAAAGCAAAGGAAAAAGTCATCTTATTTTTCATCTGTATGTCTTTCGTTACTAGAAAGGTTGAGCATAATTTCTGGTTTACTGAACATCTGGATTTTTTTATATACGATTCATGTCATTTGCCTAATTTCCTTGTCATCTTCTTGTTTTATAAGAGCTCTTTATATATTATGGATATCAGTTCTTCGTTAAACATACTGCAAAGATTTTTATCGGTCTGTCATTCATGTATCATCTTTTCCTCCATAAAGAAGCTTCTTCTTTTCAACTGGGTCAAATCTGTTGATCTTTTCTCTTACAGCTTCAGTCTGAGGCACAAATAGAAAAACATCCTCTGCTCTTTCTGCATGGTCATGAGTTCCGCTTCATGAACAACTCTTTACCTTTATCCACCTGCTGCCCCACCAGCTGCCTGGCCTTTCAAGGCAGACCTTGGCCCCTGGGAATCGCAGTGCTGGCCTGGCCCCAGCAGCTGCTGGGTGCCCAGTCGTGGACTCAAGCTCTTCTCCAGCTCCGCTGCCACCCGGGGGGCTGCAGCCTGGATGGCACCTTGGATGCTGTGTAGGTCCCACTGGGTCCTCAGGAGGGCATCGTCCAGGGTGAAGCAGCCATCACGCGTACGCCGCACTTGGGAGCAGACAGCAGTGCTCTTCAGCTCCAGGCCGATTTCATGGACCAGCCTTCGCAGCTGCTTCTGTGTCTCATGCATGCACTGCACCTCTGCCAGGGACACACAAGGACACAGAATGTGGTTGGGAGCACCGCCTCTGGTGTCGGCTGATCTAGATCCACATCGCTTTATACCTCTTGGGTATGTAATAACCTTAGCAAGACACCGTAGTTCTGCAGGGCTTTGCTATTCAGAGTGTAGCCTAAAGACTACCCTGTGGGTGCCACCTGAAGACATACAGAATCTCAGGCCCCACTCACACCTGCTGAGTCAGAAGCTGCCTTTTAGGAAGATTAGTCACGGAGCTGCTCTGACACTTTGTTTGCTCATCTGTAAAATAGGTGGTTGTGAGATGTCTAGGAGGTAATTTACACAAGGGGTTCAGCATGAGGAAGGGCTCGGTCAATGCTCAAGAAAAAGAGCCCTCGTTAATATGATCAACAAAGAAAGGAGTCGGGGGGCTGGGTCGGGAGGGACTGGGTAGCTGACAGTGCTGTCTGACGGTCCGCATCAACCTGACGCACTGGGCAATGAGCCGCTAACACAACCTTTGCCTGTTAAGGTCCGGCTTTGAAGGCTGACTTGGCAGGAGATAGGACAGCATTTGTTCTGTGTGCTATGCGATCAGCCAAGCCCAGCCCAAGGCTGGGAAGGAAGCTGGCCAGCAGAGATCGGGGCTGGGATGTGCTGGCCTCTGCCACGGCATTCCGCAGCGACTCCCCAAACCCAGGAGCCCCAACTTCCCAGGACAACTTACCTAAGAGGAATTCTGGAGGCGCAAAGTGGAGGCACCGGATGCCTGTTATCAGCATTGGGGACTTGTTCATGGGCCGGATGGAGCCTCTCACGGCCATCTCATAGGCTTCCTGAGTCTGCAGGTCGAGGTTGGAGTACCTGGGAATCAGGAGGTGGGTAGTCAGGTGGCTGACGTGGGGTGGGGAGCTGTGCTGACTGCTCACCCTTGCCCCGCTCAATCCTGAAAGACGCCTTTCCGGAAGCTCTTGTTTCGCTCTCCATCTCCCTC